TATATCACATCAAAAATATAATCATTTTAACTTTTCAAAATCCAAATATAGCTTTTTTTCATGCATAGTTACGATGACATGCATGGAGAAATTGAAGTTTAGGTGCTTGACATGTAAAGGCATAGGAGTGGAGTGTTATGCTTGTAGATCTTCCTATTTACAATTGTTACGTGTGATCGGTTAATGGGCTAAGAATTGCTTAATGTACACGCTTATGTGTGGATCAAAATGTTTTTTCTTTTTTATATAGGTTGAACTGCTTTCCCCTCTTTAACCTGTAAAACAACTAAAGTTTGTATGGTTCCTTATATTTATTGCATTTAAATTGCTTAGAATTATTTCTAGGAACCCTTTCGTCAATCGTCCTCTATCTTTTGAGCAGATAAATAATTCAAGGCGAGATCATACACATTATCTGCAACGGTGATCCCTGAATTTACGTACATACATAAGAATTGGGGTTTTATGTCAATGATTAGACTGTAAAAGTTAGTTTCTTGAATTAATTAAAAATGGTCTCCCAACTTCTTGATGCCTCTATTCAGACTACTCTGATACTACCTTGAATTGCTTAAACACGTGAGACTGATCTATCGATCAAAATTTAATCTTTCTTCTCATCATGCGAGAAAAATATCCTCATGACTCATTATTGTGATCAAAATCTGATCTTTTTCTTTTCTTCTTATCATGGATCGATCACTGATGAAGGGAACCGAGGATCTGGTCGCAGTCCTCTCAACTGGGATATCAGAACCAGCATTGCCCTTGCTGCTGCCCGTGGCATCGAGTACATCCACTCTACCAGCCTCACAGCCTCCCATGGCAACATCAAGTCCTCCAACATCCTCCTCGCCAGCTCCTCCGACGCGCGAGTCGCAGACCACTGCCTCGCTCATCTCGTCGGCAGCTCCGCCTCATCCAATAGAGCTACCGGTTACCGCCCGCCGGAGGTCTCCGACAGCCGAAAGGTTTCTCAGCCGGCTGATGTCTACAGCTTTGGCGTGCTCCTCCTGGAGCTACTTACAGGCAAGGCTCCAGCCCAAGCGATCCTGAATGAAGGCGGCGTTGATTTGCCACGGTGGGTACGGTCAGTCATCCATGAAGAGTGGATGACGGAGGTGTTTGACATGGAACTGTTGAGGTATCAGAGTGTGGAGGAAGAGATGGTGCAGTTGCTGCAGCTTGGCGTGGACTGCACCGAGCAGTTTCCGGACCAGCGGCCGACGATGTCGGCGGTTGTGGCGAGGATTGAGGAGATTCGGCAGTCGAGCCTCGGGGGGAGCAAGGAGGAGCGACAGCAGGAACAGCAGGAGTTTGCGGTTGATGAGTAGACTTTTTCCATGGCTCTCTTCACTGGTCTGGATTCAGGAATGTAGCAGGTTTTCACTTTTATTGATTTATGTAAGTATTTTGTGGTTGTACGGGCGGATGGTTTTATTTTGCTTTAATTTTTTTTCCTTTATTAAGGTACTTTTCTCTGGTCCTTTATTTTGCTTTAATTATTTATTCCGGCATATATCAACTTAAAAAAAAAA